ATCTCCTGTCAGGTAACCAATCCTCCCCGTCCACGGATGTGCATCCGGCCAGACTGAGACCAACACAAGAAGTTATCACCATTCAATCGAATATTGGTGATTTGGACAGAGTGTGAATCAGAGTTGGAAGCATGGATTGCAGGAGTTTTTGATGGGGCAGTGGAAGAAGTGGAATCAGATGAAATTTCTGACATGGTGGATTGCTGGAAGAAGAAAAAAAGTGTCTGTAAGAGTCAGAGATTTAAGTCCCTGCTCCAAAAAAAAGTTTCTTTAAGAGTCAGAGATTAAGTCCCTGCTCTGATACCATGTAAAATGTATTGTATTGAATGAATTACAATGAATGATACAAGAGGTATATATAGGCAAAACCTAATGGGTTAGGTGAAGTGCGAACACAAGGTAAGGTGTGAACACAAGCTTGGTGTGCTTCTAGAAAGCATGCTACTAGAAGGTGACAATGTTAACTATACAATGCTGAATCTAACATTCAACTATTTACAGTTAGAAGTCAGCTTTACTATTTTGTAGTTGACAGCAATAACCTTTTTCAACATATATATATCCTCACCGCCATGATAATGATATATCTGCACACTGTGCTTGGAGTTTGCGACACCAAAAGGGATGCAATCAAGATTCCATATCACTCTGTTCACTGATGCAGCATACTCATCAGCTTATGAAAGAAAAAGAAATTATGTATGAAGGGAAAACAGAGAGCTAGATCAAGCTAGAGAATAGCTTAAACACCCACAACTCAATCCCAAAAGAAAGGGAGAGATAGAAAGCCGCTATAGCAGAATGAATATATTGATAATATCAAAAAAAACGTTGAATACAACTTCGAACAACCGTTTTATAAGCCACAAGGGATGCCCTAGCAAAGATTCAATCCTAACCGTCCATGTAAATATTAATCTAAGAGCTATAATTCTGTCCAGCATAATAAAATAAGCTAAAAATGACAAAACAGTGCTTAAATGGCACATGACTCACTTAAAAGGCACGCGACTTACAAGATAGAACCAGAATGACAAAATTATCCAAACTAGAGCTTTAGGCAAAATTAAAGTAGAAAAAAAGACAGATTTTAAGACTTATATAAATGACTCAAGACCCCTAAACAATCACACAATCTGATCACATCATCAGCTGCCCTTATTAATGCAAACTCAGTCTAGTATTCTTAGGATGTTCAACAGTTTGAAGATAGTCCTCCACTTGCTCTGCATCAGTCATTGAACATGATCCAAGGTCGCAGACCTTGAAATTTCTAGAAGCAAGCTTCTCCCCACCATCAACCTCCCATGAGGCAATATCACCAATATTCGTTCCACCAAGAAGTAGAGTTTGTTGCACCGGATGGAAATACATCCTCTTGATAGCAGAAACCTGATTCTGATTTGCAACTAGAGCATTGGGCAAATCATCAAGATAATATAAGATGTGGGCATGGCTCTGGCAAGGGTATGCTATAGGCAAGATGTTAACAAGGAATTTGTTGACAAATCCATGAGGCACAGATTGATCAGTGACAGCTTCTTCAGCTTTAGACAAGTTGTTGATTGCTTTGTCAGATTTCTCCACTGTTCTCTTACCTGCTTTTTTGTCCTCTTCAATCTTAGCTTCCTTTGGTTGAACTTTAGTTGAGTTGTTTGATTCAATTACATGACTTGAATTTTTTCTAGAATGTCACTTTTGAGTTGGCATCCACATAATTTCCAAGATCTTCCTCAATCAAGAATTGTTTCGATCAATAATGTGACTGTTTACAACTCTTGGGCACTTGGCGGACTTGTATCCTGAACGTTCGCATGAATAGGTCTAAAATTCAGGTTCTATAGTACGTTTCACCTTTGCTGTCCATGTGCTTTCTGAAGGTGTAACTGACGTGGCAGCACTCCATTTTGCACTTATAGACTGCATAAGGCACTAAAATCTTTCTTCAGTGCACTATCTTATCCAATTTTCACCTTGATATTCCTTTGTTTGCTGCCCTCCTTGTTTCCCAATGTCCAGATTAAAAGGAGAAATGATTTCATATTATTCTAATATAGTGCTCAGTCAAGAAATTTGATGTTGCAGATTTACAAAGTCTCTTTTGTGGCTATCTTACTTCCTTGCCTAGCCATATATCCACAATAATCACAGATCTTACTGGAAAGGCTCTGATATCACTTGAAGCAAATAGAGATATAAAAAAAGTCTTCTCACAACAGTAAGAAAGACTAGAAATACTCCAATCACTGTTGGAGCCTAGATTTCTAAAGGAAAATCTGGTAAAGGCCTTAAAAGAAGTTCATAATATGAAAATATCTCAAAATTATATTGATTAAGACTTGTTACAGCAGAGAAAGAGTTGTCCTTTATATAGTATAACTACCATCTACTCTTAATTTCTCCTAGAATGACTTTTAGAATTCCCACACAGCATTAATAACTTTGTCACCACTTTCCTAAGTAACCACTAAGTAATTCCAAAGCTTAATTACTTAGTACCCAAAAAACAAGAACGACTCCTTCACGTTTTTTTTAAGAGACTTTCCAAATCCCTATTAATTATTTGCATCAGATTTCATTCTTCATTTAGGGATAGTTTGGTGTGCAGGAATAAAATGGAATGGAATGAGAATATAAGTGGGAATGGAATGAGAATGGAAAAGGAATGGAATGGTCATTCTCATTCCATTATTTGGTTTCAAACCTGAAATGATAAGGAACGGAATGCTTATTTCCATTCCAATGTTTGGCTGGACCATCCTAAAACTAGAATGTAATGATTTTTTTTTTTTTAAATATTCCTATCAAAATTCAAAATTCAAAAAAAGTAAAAATAAATAAGAATAAGAATTGCTCAACAGTTAAATTTGTAGTATGAATCCACCAACATCAGTAATATCTTTGAGTTTTATCAATCTGCTTGATATCTCTAATGAAATTTTATGCATCTATCTCTTTGGTGCTTACTATTTGAATTTCCATCCCCAAATCGCAGATCTATCACCACCTTATCTGACCGGCAGTGTTTGAGACAGCGATAGAGATATCAAACCTCCTCTCCACTATTGCTACAACTGTGAATACTACATACCTTAATTATTCTATAAATCTCAAAAAGTTAGAAATTTTTTCTCTGATCATTTCATCGATGTGTTCTTCAGCAGAATCGAATTCATCCAAATTCAATTCTTTGCCGGTGAAAACAATAGTGAGATTGAATAAAGCATAGGCATCACAGCCCTCCGCCACCGCTGCCCGCCGGCAATGGTGAGAGAGAAGGAAGACATATATGGTTGGTGAGAGAGGAAGGAGGAGAGAGGGAAGTGTGGAACTGTGAGGGGAGAAGTGGAGGAAGAGGAAAGTTTTTTAGGAGTGTCTGCCATTTATTGGAAAAGAGAGAGACAGTGGAGGAAGGTGGCTGATGGAGATGGTGGAGGAAGGCGGGTGAGGGAGGCGGTAGCAGGTTGTCTCAGAGGTTTCATGAGTCAAGTGTGAGACAAGTTTTTAGGTTAAGAGGTTTTTTTTTCTTTTTCTTTTTCTGTTTTACTTATATTTTATTTTAATTTTTGTTGGGAATGGAATGGCCATTCCAACTTTTTGATGGAATGAGCATTCTCAAGGAATGAGTTAGAACACTCATTCCAACTTTAAAATGGCACACCAAACAAGGGAAAAGGAATCAGAAGTTGAAATGGTCATTCCATTCCAGCGCACCAAACTAGCCCTTAAGGATAAGAAAATAAGGATGGAAAAAGTGGCTTCAATTTTCAAATCAGAAGTACAGATTTCACACATTTTTTATTTTTTTATTTTTTATAAGCAAGCAAGATTTCACTCAATTAACAAAAAGGCAAAAGTAGAAGTACAAGGGGTATCCCCTAGGCCAATACAACTCATGAAAGCCCCAACACCACCAAAGAAGCAAGAACCAAAAAGGGGGCCCAAAACAAAAACAGCAACCAAGACAGAAAAAAATAGCATAAACCAACTAAAAACAAAAGAAGCAGCTATATAATACTCAAGCTGCCAAATAGTGCCACCACAATAGCCTAAATAACCAAAAAGCATCAAACCCAAACACTAAGGGCCTAAGGCTACCAGAAGATAAAACAGAGCAAGAAGCAAAACAAATCCATAAAAGGCTTCAATACTAGAGAGATCTCATGTAAACATCATAGTAGCGATAGCTTTCGCAACAGAAAGCTGAAAACTAAAACCCCAAACAGATAACTCATGAGTAAGCATACCAATATTCCACACAAAAAAACTGACAGCTAAGAGTCTCAGCTGACACATCTATCAACAAAGGATAAATATGAGAATTGCCTAGCCAAATTTACAAAATTTGAGCTGGTGAAGTTTTATTGAGAAGAATAAACATTATTACAGATCAAATAAAAAATGTGCGAGGCAAAAAGGTTTTTGACCAAAAAACGGATATACGAACAAGAACCAGGGTAGAAGCAAGAAGTATAGAAAGATTGAGAAATTAGAAGTCATAACAAGAACAGAAGCTGAAGCTCGGCTACTGTATCCAAAGGAGAAATTATGTAACCAAAGGATTTCAACAAAGCAAAGCCAAAAGTGACCAATCAGTCATATTTAGAACAAGAGATAACCTAGGGTTTTTTTATTATTCCCCTACTCATTTATTGTTATTTGGTGAATGAGAAAGACCGCCAATACCAAAACTTCAGAAAAAAAGCTATGCCTTGCATCTATGTACATAGAACATAAGGATAAAGCATCCGAAAACCATAATGAAAAAAGAAGATCAACAGACCATCACCTAAGGCTAGTAGTTACCATCGCAAAGTTGTTAGATTCAATCTCATTGTATGCAACAGTGTGGCATCGATTGTTCATAAGGAGTATCAGTTCAATCTTCCCATAAAAGTTAATAAACAATTTATAAATAAAGAATGAAATCACTTTATACAAACCTAAACGACATATTATATTAATAATCCAAGCATAGCAATAGAGTGTCACTTCCTTACCTTGTTGTACAAAATAACTCCTGATGAAAGCAATATATAAACTAGGAGGTACAGATAGGTCAAAAAGAGCTGTTTGCTTATCATTGTGTCTTCGTTGTATTCTGATCGGCACCCTTTTTGTTGGCAAATTTTAGCTTGCCAGGCTTCTGTAAATTAAGCCCCTACGTAAAATCATAAATAATAAAGACTACTTCAGAAGGCCCCCACCTAAAATCATAAAAACATAATAAGATTCCAAAAAAGTTTAACCGACTATTAGGTGCAGATATGTAGCCTGTAGGTCAAATGTAGGTATTCATCTCCTTAACCAATTATCATCAGCATTACAAATTGATAATACAAACTTTGCTATTGTAAATTGACATGAAAATTGTTACTACCAGAAAAAGGTTGGAAATATTTTAGTTATTTATTTATTTTTGTTTTGACCTCCTAATTTCGAAGGTGAGCCAATAGCACGGGGCTACAACCCTTGGTAAAGACGGAAAAGTTCAGCTCAGCAGAAATGAAATATTTGAATTTGCACAAAGAAGCTTCCATTCCGAGCAAAGAATAGAAGCATACAAATATAGAATAGGTGTTTATTTTGAAGGAAAATCATAATAAGAAAGCATTTTGCGGAGACACACATGCTATTGACATTCGCTATCAGCAATCAAAATGCTAGGAGACACAGTATGATAAGATGTGTATCAGTAGTCATCACACGATGGAATGACTCTTATTATTATTAACCCTAGGTTGAGGCTCCAGCTGAAAATTGGAGAATGAGACATTGAGATCTAAATATTGAAAATAATAAGGTCATCTCATTGCCCACTCAGTGTCAGTGTATGATGTGTTCTGTAATGTGATCTGAAACAGAAGTATTACTTAACATACATATATATATATATATATATATAAATATATATATAACACACACATGTCAATGCATAGCAGAGAAATAACAAATTAAGGGCATATAATTATAGTAGAGGAAGAAGAAATAATAAATAAATAAATAATGTGGCCTTTATCAAAATAACATATAGACAGAGAGTTCTGACCTTGAGATGGGGTCGAAGATAGAGCCGAAAATCTGATCTTCAGGATTTGTAAATGGTGGATTTCAAAGAAGCCTACGTTTGCAGATACAGATCGGAGTGAGTTTTCAGCTTAACAGAAGAGATTTGTCTCGACAGTGAGGAATGTGGCCAACGATACATGCGTGTGATTCAGATCGGAGTGAGTTTGCAGCTTAAAAAATTAAGGGTATGAATGTGTATATATATATATATCATATGTATATATAAATATACATATACATATATAAATCTATATAATAATGTTTGATTGAAAAGGATATAGCAATAATAATGATATTCAGTGTTCTCGGGTTATGGAAATCGTCCGTTTAACGAGAAGGGAAGAGAGAAGAATGAGTGTTCTAAACTGGAAATATTTCCCTACTGCTTTTAGCGATGGCAGGAACGACAGCGTTTGCGCATGTTACTGGTTTGTCAGTGAGACACATCATCCACCTTGTGGTAAATTGCAGTGACACCCACACTAGGTTTCACCCCCACAAGGTTTCACTCATTGCCACTTGGTTAACGAATTTTTTAACAATAGCACCCATAAAGTTTCAAATTTCATATTTGCCACTAATTATTTAGTTAAGTTAATTTACAAAATATCAGCTATGTCAATTAACGAAAATACCCTTCATTATAAAGCCTCAATTGCAATACCTAACCATCATCTCACTCTACCAATGTCACTATTGCTTAGACCCAGCGCCTAACCTCACTCCTTCGCTTCGTTTTCCTCGACTCACCAATCCAACCCATCATAACCACTGATCCACTTAAACTGTCCACCTCCAATTGGACGTTCTCCACGCACCACCTCTACACCCCATTTCTCAAGTCGGCCACCATCAGTTCATCCACCACCTAACACACCATCTATACACCTCATCGGAATTGGTTTGTGAGTTTAATTACCACTTTTTACACATTCACCGTCGCTCATCCCACCATGGCCAGCGCCACCTCCTCCTACCCTGTCATCCACCATCAAACCTATCCGCCATCATCCCCTCTTTGTACGCCTCACTATAATTACTTTAAGGGGTTCGATTACCACTTCTCTCTATTAAACCACCACTACTCCTCCCACCACGGCCACCCGCCACATCCATTATATCCTCTATCATACATCTCTATCTTCTATCGCCGTCGACCCACCACTTCCACCGCCATCACTGCCACTCAACGAAGCCCACAATGACCTCAATCGTACCCAAACAGAGTAAAAAACAACAAATTCAAAAGCCCTGTGAAAGATTCGAACCAATTATTAGTGGCTCTAGATCGCGTTTTGCTTTTGTACCTAAATCAGTTATAGATGCGACCTGAATTAGACGTTTATCATCGCTGATTAACGAGTTCATTGGTGTCTCGATGTTAAAGCATTAGTCCCACACACACATCCACACACACACACACACACACACACAACACACACACACACATAAGGAGTCGTGTACCCAAACCCATATGTATTGTAATGACCCAGTCATTTTCCTTCCTTTCCTTTTTCTCAGATTTTCACGAATATTTTTTTCCCGATGATCTTTTCTTTTCTGAGTTCAGTTCCTCGTCACTTAGTGTCGTCTCGAGTGCTCGGGAATGGTTTCCGAGACTCCTTCCTTTGGATTGACAACTTCCTTTAAGGACCGCGTCATTTCCACATTTTTATTTTTTGGACACTATTTATTTTTCGTCTTTTTTTCGTTTGTCACTTTGTTTGCACAACCTCACTTTTCGTGTTCGGATTTGATTTCGGTTTTGCATGCATCCACGATATTTAAATTCCATACTAATTGTATTTTAACTTTTGTAGAAAATACATTTTAGTTACTTACTTTTTCGTAAAAGGCATGGATGCATACTTTCTTGGTAATATTCTTAATTTTTAGGGCTTTAGTGTAATTATATAAGATAATTAGTTTTCGTCTTGAGGATCATTTTGCAATTTAATTTGGAAGATATTTTGAAAAATGATCTTTTTACAATTTTTGAAAAAGCGTGACAAGTGTCACACACCCATAGAGCCACTTGTTGGCATTGGGGTGGAGAGACTCAGATGCATCATCTTGTGACATTTGGAATGTGGAGATTCACCCAATTGTTGGCCTAGGATTGGTGCACTTGTTGGCTTGGATGGTTGACAAGTGTAGGTTTAAGATTAAGCCTAAGAGGAAGCCATTGATTTGTGATAAGTGTAGGATCACAAATTGGTCTTGCATTGTGCGTATGGGTCAAGGTAGTGCAAGAGCACAGTGAGTGGATGATTACTAGATCCTCCACCCACCATTTTTCACTTTCATCTTTTTCATTTCCTTATTCTTCAAAACCCTAACCTAGCCACCATTGGAGAAAAAGCTTGGTTAATAGCTTATTTCTTTATTTTTGCCTCCTTCCACTCACCTTAGACCATAAAGCTTGGAATGTAAAAGTTTTGCCTCACCTTCCTCTTCATAACCCTAGAAGGGTTTACCATTTTGAGCTTACTTGCCTTGGACTCAAGAGAAACAGTCCTTTTGTGAGACAAGGGGTGTTATAGTTTATTATATAAGGGTTTTACTTGTTTTTGTATGAAATATAAGTTGTATGCATGTCTTTTATTAATTTGAGAAATTAATAATTTATCATAGTTTGCATATAACTCATTTTAGACTTGATATATGGCATGGCCATGACTTAATCTTTATTATATACTAATTTGGAATGATTTGAATGAGTTTTCAAATATAGAGATTTAATGAATTTAATTTGATTTAAATTCTACTTAATTGTATTTGTTTGTATTTCATTTTAGACTTGATATATGGTACAACCATGACTTAATCCTTGTTATATATTAATTTGGGATCATTTGAATAACTTTTGAAATCTAGAGATTTAATTAATTTAAATTAATTAAATTCTATATGATGATATCTTGCTCTTCTTGCACTTTTGATTTGATATATGTGATAACTATGATATATCCTTTAATATATATTAATTTGAGGTTATTTGGAATTAATTTGAAATCTAGAGAATTTAATTATTTTTGTTTAATTAAATTATATCTAATTGTTTCATGGATTTAATTATATCGTAGAAGTTGTTTCTATGTTTAAATCATGGATTTTGGACTTGTTGTGTATTCACTTGGTTGTGTTTTAAGCATTGAATAACATTATTGTTAAATTTATAGTCATGAGAACTTGTTTCCAATATTGAATATATGATTGACTTGTGTAATGAGTTTCACACTTTGTATTTGACATTATATATGCCATTTTACAATTGAAACTCTAAGGCATGGATTGTGTGGTTTCAACCTACTTGTGCATGGAAGGTGATTTCGTGCATTATTTAAATTACGTATAAGTTGTGAACTTGTTTATTTATATTGGAGTCACTTGGGACAATGTTACAGAGATATGGCTACAATTTAGCTCTAGTACGGGAGGTATGAGTTCTCCCCAATTGAGATAGTGCACACTAGGGTGGTCTTCCCAGCGGGTTAATGCCCGGAATAACTGTTTTGATCTTAGTTCATTCTGAGACGTGATGTCCAAGTCTTCCACTATTTGATTTCTCATTCAATTCCAAGTTGACAATCATGTTTAATTGTAACTTATGGTTTTGGTTATTGGCGATTTAATATTGTTAAGTACATTTGTGCATTATGATTTTTAAGGAATCATCGCATGTTTTTAATGTTGTTAAGTACATTTATGCATTATGATTTTTAAGGAATTATTGCATGTCTTGGATGTTGTTAAGTACATTTATGTTCAAATGTTCAAATGTAGCTTAAGAATGATCCTATAGATTCATTTGGAACATAGACGTTAGGTGGCATGACCCACTTTTGTCAATTTCGTATTTTAGATTTTAAGCTAATGGCTTTGAGAATCTATATTTTGTTGCTTTATATAACATGTCTTTGTGTTGTTTGGAATTGCATAAATGAAGTGATTATGTTAGAAATGATTTAAGGTAACTTAGGATGCTCCCTGAGTCTCACCTTTGACATAGACGTTAGGTGGCATGAGCCCTCTTGAATTGTTTCTCCTTAAGGTAATAACTTTGTAAAATGCTAGGTTTATGCATGCTCATCTCTTACAAGTAGCTGTATGTTACTCATCCCAAAGTTACCGTGGCATTTTTCAGGTACAAGAATCAAGGTTCGAGATTCTCATTATGCTTGGATGACTGTAGACTTGAATGTTTTAATTCTTGTAAAAGTTGGCTTGAAATATCAATTGTAGCCTTTTTTTTCAAAATGTGTATTTTTTATTCTAAACATGTAATGTGTACATGAGTACACACTTCACAATGTATTCGACATGTATGAGATGTGGCCAGAGGGCAATGACATGTATTTTATATCCTATGTAACTTTTGACTTCATGAAATTTTATGGAAATATTGAAAAATGTCAAGTCATTACTTTACCATGTTTGCATCGAGTGTGGGAATTCCATTTTTATTCTTTCATACGGTCTTATTAATCATATATGAAGTGTGACTAAGGGCCAAACGGTAATTTGAAACTATTTCATAATTTTGGATTTCAAAATTTCCTTTTCATATGCATTTTCGCCTTTTTGGCCGTCGGGGGGTTGGATTTTGTATCGGCGGTATTTTTAAGCCGTGAATCATTGTAGCCCATCCTAATAAGTAAGTTACGTTTACGTGCATGATCATTTTCGGGAAAAACTCTTTCGTTGGTGAAATGAACCTCATATGGACTCATTCCACATTTTTCTTGCATAATTTTGGGAATTTTTGTTAAGAAATAAATTCTGGTCTTAACTTTGTTACATAGAAAATGTGATTTCAGGGGGAGTTTTTTCACAGAATTTTTCTGAAAAATGTCATCTTGGTATCGAAAATCGCATTTCAAACTCATTTTTTTGCATTTTTACTATTTAGGTTCAATTCTGGGTGGGTTGAACCGGTTCAGAGGGGCTGAACTGGTTCAAAATGTGCTTTAGGTCCAACATGGATGTTTTGTCCATGTTGAATTGGATCAAGAATGTTGAACTAGTTCAAGTCTTCCAGAACCACTTTGCAGGTTCAGCTTTGGCCTTCCAACTTCGAATTGTCATAACATTTTCATTTCAATTCTGAATTAGTCTGTTCTTGAGTCTAAATTGACTGTGTCGAAGTAAGCTTTCCAATGGTATAAATTTTAGTTTCAGATTCTTCTCCTAACTTGAGATATACTTGTTTTAGTGAGAGGATGTCAGATTTGGTTTGAACCAGAATAGGGTTCATATAAGATTTCTCTTCCTTTGCCCTTGGGACTTCATGTGAAGTTACCAAAGGATGTTTTTGACCTCGTTTGACTTGTTGAAAGTTAAATTCCTTCCTCTTAGGGTAAAATGA